ATAAAAACACAAGAGCAACCAGCATAATATCAAAATTCTCGGTCTATGTCTGGGCGTTGTCCACCTCGATCGACCTCTCGCGCAGCGTGCGACCTCCTCTTCAATATTTATCGCACAGACTCTCTCGCCTCTCTCAGAGCCCAACTAAATAATCCTCGCTTCATATGCCTTTTTCCGTCCCGTCGTCCACCCGGGAGACTTAAACGAACGCCAAAATTCCCCCATGAGACCATCCTATCCCCACAATTCTACGCTGCCATGTTCCGTCTGTAAAGCATTTACTTCAAACATTTGTGCTGCTGAACTTGTGTGAGCTCACACACCCTGCGGCGCTATCACGGTCGTCGCCTAGCTTAACGTCACAACGACTGCGGTGGGTTTCCTTTGATGCTTGGTGAGTTGCTCAGTTGTCTGCTTGTTCTTGGGACGTACGTATAAAACATAAAACAGGTCATTCTATTACATCGTCAGAGTCGAATCAATCAGTCGTGGTCAGTGTAAGTTTTCACGTACCAAAGTCTCACGAAAGCTTCGCGGTCGAAAGGATCCACGGTAACGTGCCATTAAGGGCACTACCCACTCATGTTTAAGCTCCAACTGTGTTTCGAATTTCATAGCTGGGATACCTCACGATGTGGCACGATCGTTCACAACTGCAGTGCAAGTTGTTGCGTCTACATGTTAATCGAATGTTGATCGGCAAACAACATCGTGCTACTACTTGAAACGCATTACACGCCTGGCCATCAAAAATACTTTGGTCGCTTGTTCGCCGAAAACACCACAATCGATATCGTACAACCCGTCGTAATATAATACGTATAAAAAGACAACGGCGGCTACTCCATTCACATTTATTTTCGGCCCTTGATCAAGAAGACTTTCACCAGCCCATCTGCTCCAGGGTCCATCCGTTTACTTTACCTTGTGCATCTGCCTTATTACATAACCTTTCGCCTCGATCAAGGCTGCTAACCAGCGCCACGTCCTCCGGCGACAACGTGATCAACTGCATAGGTAGGGCCCTCAATATTCAAGCGGAAACAGAACTGAGGCATGCACTCACGGTGAGGTTGTCCTTTTGTCTGGAGGCATCTTGACTCTTGGGTATAGCCGCGTTACCTCTGGCTACGTGCCATGCAAGGATAACTTGAGCAGGTGAGGCATTGTACTTCTTTGCGAGTTGGTTAATAGTGGGGTCTCCCCGTACTGTGCCATATCCTAAAGGTACTATGTCTTTAACATCGCTTTATAACACGTTTTGTAATTGACGTACCCGTCGGGGTATAAGCTGTCAGATAAATGCCCTTGCCCTTGCAATACTCCAACAGTTCTTTTTGAGCAAGATAGGGGTGTAATCTAGGTGAAAGCTAAGGATCACGTAAGAAAAAACTAAAATATACTCACTCGACCTGGTTTATGACAGGAATAATTTTAGCGGTCGTTAATAATTTCTCTATGCTTTTTATTAGCAACGAAAATCAGCACAACACCTAACCATGATCATTCAGACTCCGTGCTTACTTCTTGATAGAGAAGTTGCTGATGCCAATAGACTTGGCTTTTCCGCTAGCAAGAACCTGCTCCATGTCGGCCCAAGTCTCGTTAAAAGTAGGGCTATCCACCGCCTTCAAGGATCCATCTGGGTTCTTAGGATCGTCATCGTCCTCTATACCATGTAAGTTTTATAATTTTGATACCTTAAAGTGAAACTACCTTGGTAGGCTATGGTTTGAGGCCAGTGCATAAGGTACTGGTTTGTGGTACGTTCAGCACGCATAGACATTTTAAGGCGAGACTTTATAGCGTACCAAGTCGAAATAATCCAGTCCAGCGTTAGCCAAACTCTCGTCGATAGACTTGAACACTCGTCCTGGATGATTGTAACTGATCAACGCAGTTTGTGAGTTTATGATAACACCTAGCATTCGAGAACAGCCATATATCAACGTACGGAAGTTTAGTGGTCACAAATATCTCTTCTCGAGGAATTCCCGACTCTCTTATGGCCTTTCCAACGGATTCCTCCGTCCCTAAACTTCTGTTCAGTCACAAACATCACTCATGAGCAACCTCTTACTAACCGTATCCGTAAGCCGTATCCAAATGCCTGTATCCAGTCTAAAGAAGGCACACGCTTGCATCATAAATCAATGGCACGCAAAGTTGACACGCTTACTTTCAGAGCAGCCAAGATCCAGTCTTTTGCCGCCGCTCGTGTTTCCAAAGTCAAACCACCCCAACAACCAAGACCTTTGACAAGTTTACTTTGGATGCGTGTGTTTGTTTTGTCAAAGACATACCTATTGCTGGTATAGTGAGACCATTGTTAAGCTTCAACAAGGGAATAGACGACATTGTGGCCAAAGGATAGAATCTTCACTGTAGTCAAATGGATTAGCGCTGCACCACTCCTAACGACATCTACGTCTACCCTAGTACTCACAAGTGTTGCGATGAAAATCAAGGTCTCACGAGCTTCCGTCGCAATCCAACGTATTATACTACACCAATGGGAACGCGGACCGAGCTCAAAAGCGCTCATCATAGATAGACACTATCTCGTGACTGCCCATATGTTCCAACTCTCCAGTATACTGCCTTGTAAGTCAGTGGCGCATCTCTAGAACAATTAGCAGACAATTTGCCGTTGTGCGCCATGGCTCAATCATGCAGCCACTTCCGAAGATTTCCCGACGTCAGATGAACCTGACCTGCTCCCCTCGTTTGGCTGGTATGACCACGAAGATAGCTTTTTTTGTAGAGCACTATCTGGAAAACAATGTTAAGTTATCGTTCAATTTTTGCAGAAGAGTCAAAGCGTACTACGACATCCTGTAGGAAAAAAATTGGGCATGATTAGTGAGAAGATACTCATTAGGGACATGTTTTGAAGGAGTTTTCTAATGCTTCTCAACTTACATGAAAGAAACTGCGATGGGATTCTCATGGGGTAAAAACCTGGGGTATCTTGATATCAGCTGGACGTCATCTGCACGGGCGCGAATAAGCTATTTAAAGACTCAGGTCTGAAGGACCTAGGCTTGTCGACTTAGCCGTTGATCGAAGTCATGGTAAATGTCAACTAACTCATCGTAGCACGATATCCGCAACAGCTCATACACAGGGCATTGGTGCGGGCAGCCTATGAAAGGTTCTCCCTTGAACACTTCTTTCGAGTTTGCCGTCGCAGTAAATCAGAAAAGTTCGTTCCTAAAAAAGGCACGTCCGAGTCAGTAAAAGAAAACTGTAACATGTTGTCAGGATAATATGGTCTTTGAGAACGAGATACAACACAAACCTACGAATGCCATACGTGAAGCTTGTAAGGCTGTATTCCTGTATATCGATACAAGCACGGTAAGCTCGACCCTCGCCATTGTCACGAGACGGAAGAGGCAGTAATACACGCTAATGCAACTGCGAATAAGTCCGAAAAATCTCGCTATGCACACGTCCGCCCCTGAAGATGGAGACAATCCCTGGGACGCTGCGAGAAGAAACGGATGTACGGCCGTGAATCGATCCAACCTGACCATAGCATGTATGAGTTTTGACCAAACTATATACGGCAGTTATCAGAAGAAACTGTTTCTAAGTCGAGTCGGATCAAGAGGTGGACGTCGTGGAGGACACCAGTACGTCTCGCTCGGCTTGATTGGCCATCTTAATCTTGTATTACCATAAATGGAAGTCTGCATGCCGAGGGAGCTGACCTCACCGCCGGCAGCAACAATTTCAGTGTCAGGTTCAAGACAGTTGGTTCTTTGTGTCTGTAATACACTCGGTGCGAGCCTTTCACCGGTAAATTGCAAGAAACTTACCACAAAGGGCACTAAGCTTTCGCCGACCGACGCGGTCTATGATTAAGAACATGTTGTAATATGCGAAGATATAAAGAGGTCCTGCATGGTGAGACATTACAATAGGACTTCATCGCAAGGGCGTATATTCTCTAAGACAGGTACGGTCCCACGAGCGTGCTCATTTGAACTACTTTGAAAGTTCAAATAGGATCATCTGAATCACTTACTTTTTACAGCGAAAATGGTCAAACTCACTAAATTTGGATTCTCGTCCACGGGAGACGAAGTTGTACAAACCTTTCCTGACAGAGTGAAAGGAAAAATCAGTACGTGCGACTTTCAACGTCTATTGATGTTTCAAAGAACATATTACTGACCTAGAACAGTTGTCATCACAGGACCAAGTCCAGGTGGTATTGGTGCAGAAACGGCTATATCCCTGGCCAAGGCCAGTCCAGCTCTACTCCTCCTCGCAGGTCGCGCCGAGTCGAAGATTTCTCCACTTATCCAAGAGATTCAATCAAAATATCCAGCCGTTGCTACCAAATTCATCAAACTAGACCTCGGTTCGCAAGCTTCCGTACGCTCAGCTGCAACTGAAATCAACAGTTCTGTGGAGAGGATTGACATCCTGATTAATAATGCCGCAGTTATGGTTTGTCCGTATGGAAAGACAGAGGACGGAATTGAAACCCAATTCGGGACAAACCATATAGGCCATTTCTTATTGACGAATTTATTGATGAACAAAATTTTGAACGCGGGGCTTGGCGCTAGGATTGTGAATGTATCAAGCTCTGCACATAGATCGGGAGAAATGCGGTTTAATGACTGGAATTTTGAGGTAGAGTCTGCTCCCTTGAGTAAAAAATATTTCCTTGTTTCTGACGCATCTTATATCAGGATGGGAAAGTCTATAATGAATGGGAAGCATACGGCCAATCGAAAACTGCAAACATACTTTTCTCCGTAGCTCTTGCCAAGAAACTGAAGAACAAGGGCATTTTTTCTTATTCGCTTCATCCAGGCTGTAAGCAACTCTCAGCATAACTCGTAAAATTTCTCCTAAACATATTGACACCGGCTTAGCTATTCGCAGTGGCCTTCAAGTCTACGTAACCGACTCCATTCTTGCAGATGGTCTCGCACGCGCTGTTGCGGCCGAGGCAAAAGCAGGTCGAGTTTTCGAGAGAGCTCCGCAGAAGACAACGCAGCAAGGTTGCTCTACAACATTGGTTGCTGCTTTGGATCCCGCGTTAGAAGGCCATAATGGCACATTTTTGTGGGATGGTGATATTGCAGAAAACAAGCCTCCAGAAGGGGCCACAAACGAGGAGAATGCAGAGAGACTATGGAAACTAAGTGAAGATCTTGTAGGCGAGAAGTTCAGTATCAAAGATTAGTGCACCGTCTATATTGTAAACAATTAAATAACTACACGCTGTAAATGCATAGTTCAGTTCATAAACGCGCCTCAAAAATGTTACTTTGAGTCAACGTCAATTAATAAGGGTGTTGACACCGGCCTTCAGGTCTACAAGACCCCAGCTATACTTGCTGACGGAATTGCTCTGGCTGTCGCCAATGAAGCAAAACAAGCGGAAGGATCAAGAGACACGACGTTACTAACAGGTATTGGGCCCCGTACTCGAGGCACACATTGTCACATATTGTGCGAACTGAGCGAACGGTTAATAGAGGGATGCCTTTGCTTATTCGCTGCATCCCAGCAGTTAGTAAACATTTCATCGTCACCTTCTGGGTACTCACTAACGATGTCCATGCAGTTATTATGACTGGTCTCCAAGTCCATATGAACGATGGTACTGGTGAAAGGCTCACGCTTTCCTGACGGCTGCTGACAAGGAGATTTGACTACCATACACTCCAGGGCCACCAAAGCTCTGCAACTGGGTTGTTCGACGACTCTCATTGCTGCACTTGGTCTGTCCCTCGAAGTTCACAATGGTGCGTTTTTCTGGAAGTTAGATATTGCAGACCCTCTCCTGCCCACCTACGCTAGAAGTGAGGAGAATTCCGAGAAGATACGGGTTTTGAGCGAGACATGAAGAGAAGTTCGTGATGAGATAAAAGAGAGCGGTGCTCTATATCGAACATGTATTAGCAAAGAAATTTGATTGGCAATCTTCGCTGTCGTACATGCGTCCGACCAAACATTCAAAATATCCCCTCTGGCAAAATTACTTCATTATCATACGAATCCCAGGCCAATTAGGGTCGCTCGCCAGTCGTATAAATTTCAGGCACCCGTCATAAGAAAAACGCCATTGCCAAAATTGTTCCTTATACAGGCAGAAACCACCGGATTCAGCGTGTGTGATCGAGCCACGGTGATTCAGAAGTGAAGGTATATAGAAATTTCGAAATGTGCTACAAACCGTGGCTGAGAGCAATGAGACATGCTGTTAGAAAGTTCCTGAATTCTATTTTATGAATGTAACAAATTTACCTCCACATTCAGGGTAGATTGTGATATTGGTAGAAGGAATGCTTGTATTGTGCACGTGTAAGTGTGAACTTCGTCGATAAACGAAGCGTATTGCTTCGGAGGTAGCAGCGCTTCACAATGCTGCGGTAACGTTGCGAATACTTGCTTGAAGGTTGCAGTGGATGTGACTGTGATAAGGACGGAGCCTAAAGCCAAGATAACGAGCTTTGAAGACAAAGCCATGCGGTTCGGAGATCGCCTTGAGACATTATTGAATATCGCAAAGCCAGGATCGGAACCTAATTTTCAAGGCAACCAACCTGTAGCTTTGATGATGACAGCGACCCCGTTAGCGATATTCTGTGAGCTATATTGTCGACGGGAAACACTACCAGAATGTTTAGAGTCGAGAGACTCATTTACTGAATTTCAACTTTCAAGTTAGTGTTTTGGTCACTTGAGCGAGGTGGCGGAGGCGGTTGTCCCAATCCAAAGCAGTGCCAGGCTTATGGCTTTCGCGTCTCTTTCGATAACTTCGACGTTGCGCACATTATCTCCCATTATTGTGGATGACTAGGAGACAGGTATTGGGGTGAACGGTGATTGCCTCAGCTAACGCCGTCGTCTGGCACAGCTGTGAGATCTGGAGCCAGTCGGGTGGACCTTTCCTTGTCTGGAGAACAGGCCAGCAGTGAGTGGCCATCGCATGTGTGGTTTTTTCTTTTTTTCTTTTTTGCAAACGGCAAGTATATGCTTTGGCGGTTGCTTTGGATTAGTTCCAAGCCCAAAAGCTGTGCTGACCATGTGTCCATGTATGTCCACAGGTCAAACAAGGCCACAACACGATGGACCCACAATCGTCCACCAAAACGGACCCGCCGCTTTTTCCCAGTTTCCATCTTCCTCAAAAGCGCGCATCAAGTCTCCTTCCTTTCCACCATTCCCTCTACTCCCTCCCTCTCTCTCTTCAAGCACTATACGCCCGTATCTCATCGTCGTTCCATGCAATGCCCCCCGCGCCGCGTGACATCAATAAACCGCCTCCTCGTCCACCGAACGCTTGGATTCTCTATCGCTCAGACAAGTTGAGATCACTCCCACCAGCAAAGAAGGGTGAAAGCAGAATCCAAGGACATGTATCGAAGATCGTCTCGTATATGTGGAACAACGAATCAGAACAAGTTCGTTCAGAGTATGAGCGTCGTGCAGATGCCAGGAAGGCCCAGCATCAGCTCATGTACCCAAACTACAAGTTCCAACCGATGAAGAAGGAGGAAAAGGATCGTCTTAAGGAAAAGAAAAAGGCGGAGAAAGAAAGTAGAAAGAAAGGGAAGACTCGTTCAGCGCCGTATTCCATCAACGCCGTCGGGCGACGTTCGCCTCCTGCCGTACCACACCCCTACGCGATGCCAGCCTACAACCCCGAAGCTAGATTCGGTCCACTTGGACCTTCCCCGCCAGTTTCAGCTGCACCTTCGCCTAGTGACACTAGCTCACCCCAAGCGGGACCCAGCGAGTCATCTTACACGCACTCATACTCAGCATCAGCTCAAGGATCTACTCACGCGTCTCCCAGCCCAGACGCCATTCCCAACTCACTATCCAAATACCCTCTCCCCATCGACCCAGCCTACGAAGCGTTTTTCGCGTCTTTGGCGCAAGCGCCACAACCTCACATGCAGACGGCACAGCTCCCTGTCCCCTTGATGTCTCAACCTCCCGTTGCACCGATACAGTGGGATCCTCAGCAATTTATGCTACCGCAACCGTCAGCAGCTGCAGTTACTGCCCCCACCCCTGAGTGGACAGAGTATGATTCCAGCCAGAGCCAGCCTCGACTTGAATCACAAAGTTCTCAGAGCCCAGAGGTATGTCGCTGTCGTACGCGTTTACAAACTAGTCTACTCACGTCTTGTTTACAGGAATTTTTGTCGTTTGATTTCTCGTCCTTTGGTAACCAGAGCAATATCCTCGGCTGGTCTCCCAGCAACCCAGGAGATGAATTTATTGCTCAAGACTCCATGCAGGCATTGCTATCTGCGACAGGAGATCCATCGATTTTCCAACTCGATGACTTCGATCCCCAAATGCTTTTGGCGAACCCTCTCGGTGAACTTGAGGTCGCAATGGGTCCGCAACCGCAGCAACTTCTGCAGTCATACTTTGACAGCCAAGATCTGTTTGGGAATTTCGACCTAGCGAATGCTTTTGCCGATGCCCCATCCTTGTCGCAGGAACTGCAGAGCGCGACTATCGACCCCAGGCAGACCCTCACGTCAACGTCATCGGAGACTTCGACTCAGGATATCGCATCCCTGTTCACGACCAACGCTCCAGAGTCGGTGAAGCAGCGCCAAGTCAGTATGTTCACGCAAGAGGTCATGCAGTACCTCAACTTCGAGGCCATGGAGGGAGCTGGGTCGAGCACTCAGCAGGATAATACAAGTATGAAGCCATCGCCTCCACACCACAGGCAGCTAACGCCCGTCTTAGAACCAGTTTCGACCAACACATATGTTCAGTCACACGGTTCATCGGGCCCTTCAGCTGGAGTGATTCACTCCTCTGCGCGTCGCGTCGCGTCCAACTGGAAGCATCCCGTCATCCAAGAGTCTCCATTGGAGCATGCTTCCCAGTGCGACCCCTGGAGTGTCTCTGCGAATTAATCTAGCAATAAGCTTGAACTGCATACTGCAGTAAACATATTTACTGCGCATCACGACTTTTACGAGTTCACGGACTTTTTTCTTGGAACCAATTGACCGATGATATCTATCATTTTCGTCATCATTCTCCCGCGATTTAACTTGCCTAATCTTTATGCCTTCATATTGCTTTCTACGTACATAGATTTGGTTCACGGTCTCGTCGTTTCTTCTGCTGTTAGCCTTGTACTGTTTTCGTCCGCCCGCTCCTCCATCGTCGTCATCGTCATCCCTATTCACCCATCCTCTATCCATCCTCTACCCTCTTCTCCCGTCCTCCTCCCCTCTCCCTCAACAATTGTCGCACCTGCTGTCCCTGTCGTCGCTACATCTCCCAAAGGGCTCTCACACTATCAAAGATAACTTCCCTCCGCCCTCCGCCCCCCGCCCCCCTTGCCCTCCGCCCCCCCCCCCCTACAAAAGTCCCTCCGCCAAGAGCAACTGCTATATCGTTATATCGATCCTCCCACCGCTAAATCTTATCCCTCACAATGTCGCCTCGCTCTAACTTGATCTCGGGAATTACGTCTGTTTTGAAATTCTCGTCACTGCTTGCAGTGCCGTGTTCTCTTGATAACAATTTGTTTATCTCATTTCCCTCTATCATGATACTGTTATATTCTAGTTCATCTATATCAAATAAATGAAGAAAAAAAATGTGAAATACCCCATTCCTGATGCTGTTTTACCTTCAAATTTCGTAGTGAGCTGATGTATGTCTTAATGCTCTGTTTTTCTACTCAACTTCTACCTCAACTGAGACTCGATCAATGTACAATAAATAAATTGAAATGAAATGAAACTGGTGTTCATAAATTTGATTTCCTGCTATCATATCGATCGTCTGAAAGACAAATACAACTTGAACCAGGATGGCACAAGTCCGCGGCGTATCATTGCTAAATGTTCAAAGTTGCAAGCTATCCGAGCCTCGTTTCATCTGAAACGAGAAAACTCACATGCGAGTCGGTTCAACTACAGCAATATCCCTAAGCGCTCAAACTACATGTCCATATATGGAACACAATGGACAACTAAGCAGTAAATTTTCTTGCCTCGTTGCATTCTCCTATTGTTCAATTCTCTCACTTGATCAAACCATCATCTGTGCGAGAGGATGTGTACGACATCGTGCCTGAGGAAACGAGTAATATATTGATAAGTTTTCTAACATTGTTCAGCGTGGCTTCGAAAGGACAATGAAGAATTAGGAGAGCGTCTAACCTGTTGTACTACTATTAATACCCAGAAAGGTTGGGCGCTTTCATGGTCAGATACGAGGTATAAGGTCGTGCATGGCATGCCTGATCCAATCGTCTGCATTTCAAGGGCGTTGGCACTACTGCATCTGATCCGCCACAGAATCTGTGGAAAAGGTCACACCTGCGGTTGATATTCATGGGCAGCTCCTTGCCTTTTATATCTCTCGAGCAACAGCCTGATCAGTGTGGAGTAAAGCGAGGGAATGCTCAAGAGGGAAACCTGCAGATATATTTATGTGCACTTGTATTTATGGCACATCTTCCCTCGCTGTGAGTGTGTGGAACGGGTTGTCGTGGACGGAAATGGACTGTATTTTTAAAACTCTGTTGGTGGATCTTGAATCATGTCCAAGATAAAAAGGCAATGGTTTGTTTTCAGTAAGAATGTAAGAATCTCGCTGTGCTTCGTTCCTTAGCATGACTCAAGATTTCTCTGAGAGTCCCGCGCTCCACACCGATACGCTTGATGAGTTGCATTGACATCAACGGCTCATAAGATACGTCACAGACCAGGACCATGGTGGGGTGTGCGCCGCGATAGGGGAAAAAAGCTCGAGTAATGGGGAAAAGTGACTAACATGTTTAGTGCGGAACAACGGGTGGGAGCAGCCGGTCCATTAAAAGCTGGGGAAGATGTGCAGAGGTGCATGCGGGATGGGTCTTGTTTCTTGTGGAATAAAACGGAGCATAACGGAAGGAAATGGGTCAGGAGGACAAGAAGATTCCAAGATTCGCCTAGATTGCAAGTCTGCATGATGAATGGGCCGTCAACCTCGGCCGTCAGAATAATAAGTAACTATATAAGAGCGACCAGGAGGCACATCGTGTTGAATGGACGTGGAACAAGACAAGTCAATGACACGCCAAGATAGAAAGGCCACCGAGAAAGCTGGTTGACGATGAGGTCCGCACAAAATACGAACAGCTCGATACGACCGCCGCAACTTCTATCGTCCTGTATAGGATGTTCGTGAGTAATGAAGATGCAACTTACTTATCACGAAAGATTATCTGTGGCCCAGTCGAGATAGCTCTGAATAGAAATCAGATGAAAGTGACGAGTAGAGCGACGTCAATGTTCCGAGACTCCGAGCCCAGAACAACAAACCCCAAGAAAATATCTCGGACCTGGATTGCGCAGTAAAGATTGCCGTAAAAGATATGAGCCTAGATTCGATACTTGAAGCGGAAGCTGTTGTCGTTCCGTCGAGTTTCCTGTGAGCGAGCTTTGGTCAGTGTGCGACAGTGCCGGCAACGGATTCGGTGCAATAAAAATTGAAGGAAATACGTCTACAGGAGTAAGATGAGATATAAAAATGAGATAGTACGAGCTGGAGGGATGCCGGAGGACATTGAGGTTGGTAGAGAGGAAGAAAGCCACAGTGCGCTGGGGCCGCGGTGCTCGAATAAGCGCTGTGGGGATATTGCACGTGGGAAAGCCGCTGCCGGTTTTGGGCGGCAGTGGCTTGCGGAACTGTAGTAATGAACACCCACCTTGCTGTCTTTTATCCTTAACCTTTAACCTTTACCTTCACATCCACCTTATCTCTCCCATCTTGCAGTCATCCCTTCTCTTTGCTGGATGATTAATATCCAAACCTCAAGGCTGACCGCAGAGCCGTCTTTCCCTCCAACACTGGCAGATCTCAGCAGAAATGCTTCGGTCATATCCTCCTCTTCGGATTCTGAGTCAACCCCTTCTTTACTCCTGAAAACCCCACGGCCTCGTCCAATACGTACATTTTCTTCTCCTCGCTCAAGAAGTCCCCAGTCCCCCACTCCTATCGTTTCCCGCCCACCAGCATACCTTACAAAGGACCTGGGTTTTTCTAACGGCACCCTAAACGCTGAGGCGGAATTAACAGAGGCTCAGCGTGTAGCAATAAAGGCGCGGTCGAAATCGCGCAATCGCTCAGCTTCGAAAACCCGCAATCATTCCGTTAGTCGTATTTGTGCTGAGGATTTCGAGTTTGGGGAAACTCTCGGCGAGGGCTCTTACTCTGAGGTCCGTCCTAGCCTCGCCTGTACCCGCCCGGACGGACGTGCTGACAATTCATATAACGTAGGTGAAGCGTGCAACGCATCGTGGTTCAGGGCAGCAGTATGCAATAAAGATCCTCGATAAGGGCCATCTGAAACGCAAGCAAAAACTTCCGGTTGCTCTTGCGGAGAAAAATACTCTAGTCAAACTAGGTGCGGGTCACCCGGGCATAGTCCACCTACACTGGACATTTCAAGATGAATGGAGTTTATGTAAGCCCTCAAGATAACAGGATCATCTACATGTTCAAGGTTATTGTTTTCTTAGTTTTCGTCCTTGATCTTGCCACAAATGGGGAGATGCAAACATGCATATCCCGATTAGGTTCTCTATCTACAACCTGTGCGAGATATTATGCGGCTCAGATCGTTGATGCCGTGGAGTATATGCACTCCAAGGACGTCATCCATAGGTTGGTTTTGATGTACCCTCTGGGTATCCATATTCTCAATAGAAATACAGGGATTTAAAGCCAGAAAATCTTTTGTTGGATGATGCTTTTCGGATAAAGCTTACGGATTTCGGCACCGGCAAACTTCTGGAACCAAGTGGTCTGTAGGCTCATTTCGTCCATAATCCTTGTATCTGACGCTCTTCTAGTGGATCGCGCGAAATCTTTCGTAGGTACCGCTCAGTATGTATCTCCAGAGTTGCTAGAGTCGGGTGAGACTAGCAAGAGGTGTGTACAATTCAGTTTGGTTGTAGTTATAATCGGTAACATCCCCCATTCAGTTCTGACCTATGGTCGCTGGGGTGCATAATATACCAAATGATTGCAGGAAGATTTGCGTTCCAAGGCCTATCGGAGTACTACACGTGGCAGAAGATCAAACAACTCGATTACTCATTTCCGGATGGCTTCGATGAAGAAGCAAAAGACATAGTGCAGAAGCTGCTGGTATGTCCATTTGTTTAGTTGTCCACATTAGTCAAAGGTGCAAATCTTGGATAGGTTCGAGACCCGTCTGCCCGCTTAGGCGTAGGTGCTCCTGGGAGCGTGAATGACCGACAAGCACTTCGTTCCCACCCTTTCTTTGCCACGATCAACTGGTCCACACTGTGGACGGATCCAGCACCACCACCCGAAGCTGGCTTGGTCAAGAAGGACCTCCCCATCGCTCGTGGAGACGACCAAAACTGGGAAGAAGTTGGGTCTACCTGGGATGCCCTAGTAGGGAACAGTATGCAGGGAGAAGATGAGCTGCAATGGGCACACGATGGGGAAGGTACGGAGTATGAAATTTACAAGCAGAACTCGGGTCAGAATGGGCATGTTGTAAATGGGCATGATTTTGCAGAAGAGGTGGGGCCTACAGGCGAGGTGCCGCAATATGCTCAGACTCTAATGGTGCCGAAGCAAATGAGCTCAGGCGAAGGGGATACGGCTACTATAACGAGCAATGGGATTACTGAGACGTGCACAAGTACTGGGGGACCACACACATTGACGGTTCCCATACCAGTACCTGATGCTGGGACAGGCTCAGGGACGAGTTCCTCAGATGGAAGTCCGATAGAGAAACTCGGAGCAGCGCTAGAAGCCATGGTTATGAACCGAGGCAGAAATCGCGTCCAGACGCCTGTGCAAGGCAACGGTTTCTCTAATGACTGGCAAGCATCCCTTACACGGATCTCATTGCCCCCTTACACCATTTAATTTTTTCTGTTTACCAGGTCCTCAGTTTTGCATCCAGGAGAGAACATTATATTGAATACACGAGTCGAAGCACGTTCGCCCAAGCGGCGAGGAAGCAGGCTGCGATTACCAATTCCTGTATCACCCATGAAACCAAAGGCACGGCAGTTACTCCTCACTAACAATCGCTTGCTCTGTTTAAAGCAATATATTGGGCCCCGAGAAATCTCTATAAAATCTGAGCTTATATTCAAAGCATCGGAGAAAGGGACGGGGAAAGAGAAGGAGAAAGAGCAACGTAGTGTGGTTTTAAGCGCCGAGCCCAAAGGCGAGAGGGAATTCGTTGTCTTAACTGTACGATCTCACATACCTCTGGTCCTGATGATAAGCACTAATATAAACGGTTTAGTCAACGAAATCCCAAACGTATGCAACGGAGGCTGCGTCACTTTCTTCGTCCTGGGTTGCGAAGATAAATGAAATTCTTGAATCTCATGGACAAGCTGGAAAGACTCAAAATTCCAAATTACAGACATAGTAGCATAACTTTAATAACTAATGACGCTTTCTCGCTGGGACCGTGTCGGACCAATTTTGTAGACTTAAGCTGTGGTTTATATATCGTATCGTAGTGTACGGATGATCGTTGTAACTTGCTGATGGTTCACTAACGGATTGTGAAACTCTGGCTGTATAGGTGTTGTACCTTTTTATCCTCTGAAACCTTTTTATTACATGACGGCCTGCTGTATAAACCAATCATACTTTCTGTGTTGTCGATAACCAAAAAACGGGGAAATCCAAAGCTGCGCTATATATCCGTAGAGATATCACTAGTCAACATATGAAGGTTATTCTTAACCGGGGGGGAGGAGGCTTGCGTCAACCGGTCCAGACTGGTCTGCAGGATCATCAGAGTCTTCTGGTGATCTGGCAATTGGAGTGCGAGGCATTGCCATCAAACCTTGGATAAAATTTAAATCAACGCTCTTCACGATGTTATGAACGTGTCTTACCAGTACGAGCAGACTCCAATATTCCAAACGGTTTGAGCAGGCTCAAGAAGGCCTCGACACGGTTAGTCTTGGCCGTCAACTCTACGATGATGCTATTTTCACTAACATCCACGATCTTGGCATTGAACTGGTTGGCCAGTACAGAGATAGAATGTAAGTGCTGGTGTTTGTGACGCAGAGCCTCAGACGGTGTTAAAGGCAAGGGTGCAACAGTTTCAGCTGCACTTGTTTGCTCAGGATGAGCACTTCGCTCGAAGTTCTGAGCTAATGTCATCTCTTTTTCGAGTTTTGAAGGGTGGTCTCCCGAGGCGGGCGCACTGTTTTGACCCCTGCGCACTTCATGCGTCGGGCCGCCAACGAATTGCTCCTCTAGGTACTCTGGGCCTAAAATAGAGACCTTCACGAGCAGCAGTTCACGGGTAATAACGCGTGTATCCGTGTAGTCCAGGACAGCCCACACAGGAACCTAGAAATGCCGCGTAAGTCTAGGAAAGGATATGCTCCCCACCGCGCAAAGGTCTGACTCACAAGGTCCTCCAGCTGCCTTCTGGCTTGCTCTACGACACCATCCTGCCCGCTGAGTACGATAGACATGCGACTCAAATCACGGATTTCTGTCCGGCACACAACCAAGGAGTCGATGTTGAATCCGCGACCAGCTAAGATCCCTGATACACGTGAGAGCACACCAGGCTCATTTTGAACGAGACAGTTGAGAATATGCCTGTTATAAAAATTCATTGGCACATTGGCATCTTTCGATTGCAAGTCCTCAATCACTTACTTTTTGAACGGTTGGAGACTTGGAGGAGGGGTGTTGTAAAGAATGTTGGTCACGGCTTCCTCTGCTGTCCTAGAACGTGGAAGGTCCATTGCAGGTAAGGGAGGAGGGCGTATCCTCTGTGTTCTCTTATACTCCAGGGCTGAGGTGGAGTCATCTATCGAGCGAGGAGGCTTGGGCGGGTCCTCTGGCCCTCTGGCACGCAGTGTGGACGAGAAAAAGCGTGGCGTTGCCGCCCTGGTTGCCAGACGCGATCTCAGAGCGAACATTGTGGTTAAGAGAAAACCTTTGCAACTTTTTGAGTCAGAGTCAAAAAGTATATTTCCGAGTCATACCAAACTGGGAAAGTAAACATTTAGCACTCCGGATTAGTTAAGCGCACCATATTTGGACGACTAGGAACGCTCATCCAAGCTTTCTGTTCACTGTGAATAACCCCACAGGCAGTCGGCAAGCCTCATGCTACGTCTACTACACCTAAGGTAGCAGAGACGCCTCAATGGTGATACAAGGTCAGTTGGCAGTCCTGGCAAGGTGCGCGACAAAGGAAAATATTATGATATACGCTTGATATTACTCAACACAGCTTGTGCCAAATCTATGTACTCCTTAGCATCCTTGGTGTCAGCACCCTCAATTTCTCTCATCTTCTCCCAATGGGAGAGGCCGCTCTCTACCAGTGTCCATGCCTCCTCCTCGGAATGTTCGTCTACCCAGCGAACGTATTCAGCTTCCTGCCAGCCGTGCAGAGTGTGTGGGAGGGGTATAGGCGAACGAACGAGGATGTGATGCAGAACTACGAGACGAGGCAATCCTGCTGTTCGCTCTGCAGATGTCAGCATTGCATTATCAAGGAACAACAGAGGGCTGGAAACATTATCATTAGTAATTTCGAAAAGTGTTTCGGGTGAAATTTTGAGTTACCGCATAGCTCTTAACGATTTATATTCATCTCCAACACTCTCCAAATTGCCTCCACGTTTACTTTGCTGGTTTCCCACCAAGAATGCACTCAATGCAAACTCAAGCTCGGTCATATCACTCGTTAGTTGTAACTTTCCACTCTCTCCTAATGGCTTGGCAATAGATGCATGGAGAACGAAGGTCCTTATGACAAATTTGACAATGGAGACAACCCTTGATATAGAAGACTCAGACCGAATAATAAACAGGTTAGGAAAGAAGAAAACTCACCAGGTTTTAACAGCCTCTGGGATGTTATACTGAGGCAGTATCTCCATTTTGATGTACGAAAGTTTTTCTACGAGGTCTTTCATGTATAGACTAGGTCCTGCCATACCTGCCATAGGATCCACAGACTTCCGAAAGTCCAGTCTGTGTAATCTAGCGATGATAGCACCTAGCTCACGGCGAATAGAAACCAAGAGAGGATTGGCCATGCGTTCAAAAGCATCATGTATGCTCTGTAATATAGTTGAAACCATTCAGAAAGTTATATAAAGGTTATTGCAAAGATTGAATTTACCTCTACAGATTTTTTAATTATGCCATACGTATTCTCTGCATGTTCACCTTCAAGTTTTTCTAGTCTTGACCAGCAGTGGTACAAACACGTCGCGACTTGACCATTGACAACTTGTTGGGGGGTGGCAGTGGGACCGACCAACGTAACTGCCGACCGATCTCTTGAAATCTTTCAGGAGAAGGAGAAGTATACCACAAGGAGATCAGCATGTGTTTGGCAAGTCACTTTAACTCGAAATCCTCACTAATCCATCAGTTCTCGACAAGAACATGTCGAGGCTAGACAGGGCATTTTTGGCCACGGACAAGGTCAGCAGTGGATCGAAGCGCGCAGAGTCCAGTTCATTCGCAACAGCACGGGCAATATTGATGCCTTCATTCATCCCAGGCGGTGCTCGAGCACCACCTGCAAAAGCCTGGCCTACAGCCTCATTCAATTTGTTCGAAGAGCGCGAAAGGTACAGCGCTTCGAAATTGGATAGCGCACGTAAGACCAGAACTGTTTCTGGGCTGAAGTTGAAATGAGTAAAATATTATTTGATCTCCAAGAATAAGAGAAATTTGGCTGGCCAAGCAAGGTACGAACCTCTGATATGTCGAGGTATACACGGTATCGGTGTGCACTGCAATTTTGGCGAAGAACTCATGAAACAGCCGTAACAATTTGGGATATCCTGCGCTTAATGTCTGCTGTAAGAAGGTAGAACCTATTGAGATGAGCGGTGATGAACGATTGATCCATGTGTGATGGCATTCACATTTACCTTTTGCAGCGTCCCTGGCATATTTCTCTAGAGCGCGACTGAGAGAGGTCCAGAAAGTAGCACTAGGTTTGTTTTCCAACATCTATGGCCATTTCCGTTAATTTAGGATGTCACATTAGATCACCATCTGATATCGAATAGTCGGGAAAACCCCGCCCAGATAAGACCCACCTCCATAGCCTCATCTAAAAACACCGTTTGGGACGCTGCGTCCTTTTTGAGTTTCAGGACCCTTTCCAATGTATATACCTAGTTGATATCGAGTGAGCAGTTATTCAAATATAGAACATATGTAGGTCAATTGACATGATAGTGGTAAAGGCGCCCGCAAAATGACATTTCATAGAGTTTAACCGCTCACCTTGATACAACAACTTGTCAATTCTTCTATGAGTGTGTCAAGACGACTCCATAAAGCTGCTGTCCACTGAGGAGCGGTTATGTTAGTTGGTTCAGTTCTAACACGTGATTTGTACATAAGACTTTGGGAAGGAGAATCTGACGGAAATCAGTCAGTATAATGCTCAGCACAATTCCACAACCATAAACAGATATAACAACTCAAATCTAACCTTTCGCCACAACTTCCTTTGATATTCGTGACAGATCAAAGGCACTGCGTATCCTATCTTCCACGGCATCCGACAGATCGAGTACCAAACTATTCACAAGTCTTGGCAGGACCCGTAGGTTGTAAGCTGTTTGCAGAGAAGAAGCCAACATGGATTGATTCTGATGGGGAAAATTAGTAAACATTGCCAAGAGAGCGTCAAAAGACAGGGGAGGGAGTAACATTTACCAAACTTGTGAGCCCAGCCAGTACCATATGCTCCATTTCCGTAGTGACTTTCGTACGAGCGTCTTCAATAAACAAGACACGGTCTGCCACGGCATCAACAGACCTCAACGAGACATTCCCATGAATATCGGTGTCTGAAATTGGCACCCTATCCAAGTTGGACCATTTGCCTTCGGATACATTATTCGAAGCGCCAACTGAACTATCCAATAGCGCCACTGATTGAAGAATGTCAGATAAGTGACACTTAATAAATACACGTGTAAAACACGACTCTCACCCAATTCAGCAACACTGAGTGCTGCTTTCGCTATCGTGCGCTCCTTCTCCGTTTCGTGATCCAAGGCGGTGAGAGAGTCTGCGCCCAGCGTAGATCCATTCAGGTCGATTGATTGATTTGTGCTGCTGTAGCTGGCCTCTGTATCACCATCGAATTTTGCCATTTCTGACATTTGTATTTCCAGTCTCCTAGCTAGGACAACGAAGCGTGATGTTCGACGGAGAATATCTGATGCTTCTTGCAAGCGTTGTAATCGTGTGACATGTGCTTGCAGAGATTGGTAAGGGACGCGAATCTTCAGACGAAGTCTGTGGAGTATTGTTCCTGAGGTGAGGTTCCTATATACTTTCTGACCAAACATATATGATATAAACTTACTTCTCCAGAGAAGTATCGAGTTCGCTCAGTCCTCGTCGAACGGAGGTTAGTGAACCGGAGAGATCATTCACGCTAGTTGCCTGCTCGAGCAATTGCTCGTGATGATTAGTGACCTATAAATGCAGAACTGCCCATAAATTCACGAATAACTAGGATTCAGGTACAAGACCGCACCACATTCTTGATTTGCTTGGACACATCGTCAATTCCAAGGTTTAACTTGGATATAGCGACAGATATGTCTTCTCTTGCGGGCTCTAGAGCAGTGCTTTTAGAAGTGCCAACAGTTGCTTTTCCTGGTTGAGAGGGATAAGATTCTCCTGCAAGTATGGCATTCGCATAATCGTTGGCGTCGAAATCAGGACGAGCGAAGACAGAGTAGTCTACCGCACAATGTCAATTTAGTTTGCTAGAGCGTAAGAAAGATAATTACCGGTCATTCCACCATTTGATATCGCACTAGAATATGTTGATTTTTGAAGTCGCTTGCAACAGTGTGCAGCCTAGCCTGAATGTGGTGTATATTCGACAAGCGCGCGCTTGAGCAGCACATTGTGATTTGAACGGAGCTTCAAAATTGCGCCTATCACGTGCTGAGCTGACCACTGGGACCTTAACCAGTGTCGTCATGCATTGACACCGCTTCAAAAACCTGCCTCTCTCTCCTACATACTCTCCCAGACTGATTGTAAAGGATAGCCTTGTTGAATTGATATGTTTTTCGTAGTTCCCATCGCCTCAGAAACTTTGAGCATTGACAAGCCCCGCGTTTTTATCTAACCTTGAAGTAGAGGATGGATGTGCCAGTGATCACCGTCGACGGTCATCTACACATACTTGCTGGCCTGGCTTTGATCTGTGTGTCGATGGAGGTAATTAATTATTCATTGTCTTCTGACCAAGCAAGCCAGAAATTTGCATACTAGGAAGCCACTCCTCCAGAGGGTTTGCATCCGACGTTGACGATATCCCACTCCATGGCTTCGAAACACCATAGACATAAGATTGCGAGCCTTCGAGATATGCTTGTCCCATGATTGGCTTGTTCACCGTAGATTATGACAGTGCACTGCACGGAGCATCATGCCACTGCCATTTTCTATATAATCCCCGTTGGAGCACATCCTGTAAACCACGTGAGGTCATACGCATCATTATTGCCCTAACCAGCTGACTCTCCACCTTCAGATTACAGAATTCAGACACACTAGTCCTATGGCGGAGATGGCTATCCAGCTTCTCAGATCAGATTTTCATGACTAATTCACCCGGTACTCGTCCTTATAAACGCGCACCTACACTCGACACGCGTTTCCCCACTTACAATGGCATATCCTTACTATCAAAACAATCTAAATGGCTGGGGAACAGAACAGGTACTTTGAAAACTCTATCTGCACTTCACTGTGCCGAATCTGACATGCCTTTCAATTAGCTCCAATTTGGCGCGCCTCCACCAATAAACTTCCAACCTCAACCGTCGTGTAGGTTGATTCCATAGGTCCAGTGGTCCGAATACTAATCGTTATAAACACATAAGGGGGTGGCCTCGATTTCTTCAGAGCTCACGCTGCCGTACCTGACCCGTGAGCATGATCTCCATCCGCAAACCCTCTTGTAGAAAGTTGTTTCGTCGTTCTGACTCACATTTTTCCAGGACGCTGTACAACCAAGCCTTCAGCCGAGTACGAGATGTTTCTGGCATCGCCGGCCTGGGTGTTGGCATGCACGAAGCTCGACACTGGCATCGTCGAGCTTATGGTGGTCTCGTGAGTCCCCCTTTAGCTCTTCAACGCATATACGCTAATTTAATCATGTTTTATGTTTATCGAGGGTCAACTCAATCAAATGACACCTTCAGAAATTGGGCATGCTGCTGCATATGAATCATATCGTATATGGATACACAATAGTTCGTTATATGAGCCGCTTGGCGCAGACGTTGAACGGCAGAGAGAGGGTCTCATTGGCCTGGCTGTTGCAGAGAGTATGTATGCAATGTCGACTTCTGATTTGTGAATTTACACGTTCTTCTAGCTACTCGACTTTTCCAGTACTCAGGTCGAGCTATGGACAATTACGGTCGGATGACTGCCACAGAGTCGGCTGCTGCTACGGCCTCTTTGATCTTCGGTCAAGTACGAATAGTTTTTCATGTGCCAGTTGTAGTATATTAATGCAACTTTTATGTAGAGTATGGACACCGAAGACTTCGGCGCAGGCGCATATGGCGGTATGGCAGGTGCAGGTATGGCAGGCGCGATGAGCCCAGGCGGCTTTGCAGGTGGCATGGGTGCGGGGGGCATGGGGATGGGTGGAATGGGGATGGGTACTCCTGGGTCGATGGGAGGCGGAATGATGGGAGCTGGAGGAATGGGAGCTGGAGGAATGGGAGCCGGAGGAATGGGCGGAATGGGCGGATATCCAGGCGGCATGGCAGATCCTTATGCCATGGACAACCAAATAGGCTGGCCTCGGCGTCGTCATCGCCACAGACACTCGTCTGGACCTACAGTAATTCAACTCAGGAATGACGGCCTACCTCCAACTGTATACAACCCAGGTTATGGAGGAGCTAGCCCTGTACCAATACCGGGTGCTGGTATGGGTGCTGGTATGGGCGGTGCTAGCATGGGCGGTGTTGGTATGGGCGCTGGTTTGGGTGGTGCTGGTATGGGTGCTGGGTACGGTGCTCAACTTGGTGTTCCAGGGATGGGAATGGGCGGATCGCCGTATGGTGGATCCCCTTATGGCGGGTCCATGCCTGGTGCAATGCCTGGTTCAATGCCTGGTTCAATGTACGGTGGCGCTTCTCCAATATATGCAGGTGGTGGTGTCTCGCCTTACGGCGCAGGCGCCTATCCACAAGGAACGACCAACACCATCATGCTTCCCCGTCGCCACCATCATCACCACCGGCATCGCTCATCCTCGTCAACTGGACACCACCATCGTCGGGCGAAGAGCGTTGACTCAGGTTCGACTGCGCGGAATATAGGGGGAGCCGTGGCTGGAGCAGTTGGTGGCGCAGCTGGTGCTATAGGAGGTGCTGCGGGAGGGTTGGTGGGAGGGCTAGCGCGGGGTGCAGTTGGAGGTTTGACGGGTGGAGCTGTTAATGGAGGAATGGGAGGAGGTATGATGGGACCGAGAAGTGGCTACGGTCTTGGTCCCGCTGGCGGAGGTTTTGCAGGTAGTAGCATAGGAGCCTACCCAGGGTATGGGGGTGCGGGTTATGGGGGTGCAGGCTATGGAGGTGCAGGTTATGGGGGAGGAGGGGTCTACCGGTATTGATCATCCTGCAATATGCTCCTCGCTGGTCTTGAAAGCCTGTCAAAAGCATACCATATTACTTGTAGCTGCAAAATATAGTTTTATGTACTATTATATTTCATATATATTGTAATTATCCTAGGTTCTGCGAAGTCTTCAATGTGGAAGAGAATCAAGCCATGTACACGAGCTCATAGTCGACATGCGTGTGATACAAAACCATAACACTGACCAGGCGGACTTTTTCCTAAAACTAGTGCAGGACAGCAAAGGCAGTGTTCAAAGTGTATGGGTATGATTACTACGTGGACAAAAATCTGTATAGTACATGGCTGCTGAGACATGATGAAAATACACCCGTCGTACGACCAACTGCACTTGATTCGCTTGACCCACCCTTAAGCATCATTTCTGGCCTTGAGTTGCGCAGAATAGTCCTGCTCCATGTAGTAGATAGTGGTGTTAGGGTAAATCTGTATTACAAGCACGACCAATCAGATGACCTTCATACACCAACCCCGCGAAAATACGCACCGCAAACCCGTCGTCGGGAGTTGCACCATTGGTCAAGTTCGACCCAGCTTGCCTGGAGGTACACGCATGTCACAAACACGCCATTTCTGAAAGAGCGACGAGACTTACCAGATCAGGACACCAGCTAGGCCACCATCGATGACGGTGGAGTACCAGTTCTCGTAAGTCTCAGTCTGGTTCTGGTCGACGAAGACACCGAATTCTTCCATGAGCACGGGTTTGTTGTAGGTCGCCTGTGAGTCTCTGTGGTTCTCAATCCACTCAGTACCGAACTCAATTGGGCTAAAGAGGAATGTAGATGTCAGTACTTCTATCAACGTGGAATAGTATGGAGGAGTTTGACGTACTCAGTGTCTTCTCCCCATGTGAACTAAATATGATCGGAACATGTCAGCATAGCACGACTGAAAAAAAGCGTACGAGGTAAACATACGGGATACAACTATCAATAACGTCAGATTATATTTCACCCCCGTAAAAAGAAAATGAATACACACGTGGAAGGTACCAAAGTCAATGGTATCGACGGCAAGGTTGGCATTGAAGTCGATACCTTGAGAGCCACTTCATTTTCGCCCAAGTCAGCCATCCGTAACTTCAATAAGTTTCAAGTACGTACTCGTAAGCATAATCAGTGCTGTTGGCATCGTTGAACCAGCCCTCATCGCCAAGGCCAACCAAATGGTTAGTGTCGATTGATTTGATATAAGCCGACATAGTCTTGATCCATTCGGTGATAGTGGTAGTGGTGCAAGTTCCAGAAGTTGCGCTAATAAACTCCCATCAGCAAAAAAAGCTGCGTTAGGGATATTTTCGAACTCACTTCGTCGAACCCGTGCATCGCGGTTCATTGGCTACCAGGAAACACGACGAACGTAAGCAAAATCGAATAAAGATATGTCAAGTGAAAGCTTACCAAGCTCCCAACCGAAGATGGTTGGTTCAGTAAGATAGCGGCTGACAAAGGCCTTGACGTAGTTTTGGTATGCGGCCTAACAGACTCTGTGAGTATCAAGATGTTTCTCAGGGGGTATAGGCACATACAATAACTTCAGAGTTGGTGTAGAAGTAATCGTGCGGCTGACCCTCGCCAAGGATCTGGTCGACATATACGTCCATTCCACCGTAGTTGTCCCAGTTGTTAGTCCTTAATATCGAGATTGAGATGCAGTTTGAACTGGGACATCAATGAAGATGAACGTACAGAGTCACGATGAGGCGAATGTTGTATTTCGCAGCAGCAGCAACGACGTTGTCTGTATACGGCATGAGATTGAACTGAAAGCCGTTATTCTTGGAAAATTAGTCACCAAAGTTCTCCAATCCAGTAGCGCCATAGTTAATGGTTGCAGTACTACCATCCCAGAGTTGGTAGTAATCACCACTGGCTGTAGTGACGTCGTTGAAACCCCTGAATGACATGTGGGCCTTCCTATGCTATAGCGTGACTGCTGAAAACTACTTACCAGGTTCGGACAGTAGTTCCGCCTGTAGCTGCGATATTAGCAAAGGTGGTGTCCATGTCCGTGGTGTCGAGTTCGGTCAAACCAACCCAATAAGAGTTTGAACTTCAATCTCCATTAGACCTGATGGTCGAGTTACTTCAGGTGTTTCATAAACTCACCCGAACACAGTATAAGGTTCACCGTTGAGGGTGAAACCTTGACCAGAGGCTTGGACATAGCCAGTGTTGGCTCTAGAAACCGGGTTGGCGTACTTCGAAAAGCATTAGCATCGTGATATTGAAATTTAAGAATAACTGAGAACTAGTCACCGACGCGGCGGCCAAAGCCAAAGTAACCAAACTAGCACAGAGTGTCATTTTGATTTCCTGGTTGGTAACTGACCAAGTTCGAGAACTGAACTTCGTCTTGCCATGGACCTTATAACAAAACGACGACGATCACAGAGGAAGAATGATTATTCCCAATATCCATGTTCGGTCTTTCTTCGCTGAACGAAATTAGCACGGCATAAAAGCGAGTTTTCACCGTTTGGACATAGTTATGGTTGCAGCTGAGAGCTGTTAGCAAGAATCCCTGCGGTCCAAATAAAATCCCTTGCTGCCGTCGTTGCAGTGATGGCGGCCCGCGGACAAGCTGAGTGGTCACGAGGCAAAAACCACGCGCAACGCAAACCAGGTTCGAATCCTGGGTTTATTCTCACCAGATGGCAAAGCTCTCAGACTTCATTGCATCAGCTTGTGTAGAATTCAGATGCACTTCTAGTGATATTTTTGTGCAAGGAACCACAAGGAAAGGGGTCAGGCATGCATCACTCATATTTGTAGTGAATTGACGTCCACTTTTCAGTCAAAACGATAAGCAACTTGAATGGATCTTCAGATGTAACAGGGACTGGCAACAACGAACGCTAGGGATATTGTGCCAGATGAATTGCCGTGACATTCTTTCCCTGGGCGGTACTTGCGGAGAAAGACTTCATCCCTCGTGGCATATGGTTTTTTTCCCATCTTCACAAACTGAATGACGTAGACCACGTTGCTATTTCTTTCGTGGCAGACGCGGAAATAAGGTAAGTCTGTCCTTCGCCTGCATGGCAATCTCGTACGGAGCAATCTTGTGCTTTGGGTCTATCATGAACGCCGTCTTCGCCGGCGTATTCCTGGCTGACCCTGTACCCGCCGTACATTCACGATGCTTGCGAGACACGGCTATTTCTCTGCAGTCTGCGTATTCAGAGGGAACATAAACATGCTAAAATGTCTCATATACATTGAAATATCTCTTGATCTTACAAAATACAGTGAATGCTATCTCGCTTCTGCATGAGCCGCTTCCTGCGCTCCTCTGCATATCAGTGCGACGGAATGGGCTCCGGCGCACACTCGTCCTTCGTCGTCAATAAATAAAGCATGGCTTGAAAGCTCGGGCATAACCCTAATTAATCATGCTGACCAGGCAACTCCGTTAGCAAATTGTTACCGGACAAAGGCACAAAACTCACAGTTTAAACAGTTTAAGGAGCCTTGACGTCTTTCGCCATCAGTTCATTCAAGCACCTAGTAACGATGCCCACGCCCTCCTCAACAGCACCCTTGTCTGCTGCGGTAACTCTGGCCAGTATTCGACGAAAGCGATCTGGGTGCCAACGTAGTAAGGCACTTCGGGCTCTCTCTCTCCGTGATTGACTCTGCGAGTGTACTGGCGAAAGAACAAAGGCGATAATGTTCGCAGGTATGATATCCGTCGCAGTAGCGGGAGGTGAGAAAAGTGGCCATGGAATTGCTCCAAAAGTCAGGGGCTCGGAAGATGCAGGCAGAGCAGTCCACCGCGATTCATATGTGGTCCACGCATTGACCTTGGCTCGTTCTGCCCTCACTCGCTCTTTGCGCTCTCTAAGCTTGGTGGCCTCATATTCTCTTTGTCTCTCGTCTGCGATCTTCTGTTTTTCACTCTGCGTTCGCTGTCGAACCCGAGTCTGGATACGCTTTATCTCGTCTTGAACAATCCTGGCCTTCTCTTGCTCTCTCTCTGCAGCTTTCCGTCTCGACTCCTCTTGTTTCATCCATCTCTGTGCCTCAACCTCATAGTCATACATAAGCTCATCTATCATCTTCCAACGAAGCTCTCCATTTTCTGAAGGTTTCGGCGATCGTCCGTGGTTTGTGCGATTGGCTAGGAAAATCTGCTCTGTAACCCACTGCTCCGTCTTCCTATTCTGTTTATCCAGTCTAGTATGCTCCTGGTCAGCCACCCAAGCGTACGTCTGCGCCATGTGTGCCCAAGGAGGTCCGTCATTGTTTTCGTGTGGAGAGGATGGGCGGCGAACAGCGCTGGGTCGCGCTGGGTGATAAGACGGATCCGCTGTTTTCGAGCGAACAATGTGTTCACGATGGTACCGGGGAGTATGAGGAATTTGGTGGTGGAAATCGTCAATGAAAGATATCGTCTGCATAGTGGATCCCACTTGAATCATAGTCTAACCAGCGCTGACAGCAGAGTATTCGCAAGATGCAGATGAGTGAGGGCTGCTGGGACGAAGATGCATCCCAATATATGCTCAAGAGGCTTCTGCGTGTATCACCACCTTGTCCTAGCACGATAAACACGAAGCGAAACCTGAATCAAGAAGTTGTAAGGACTCGGACCTATCGCACATTTGAATACGTAGCGGAAGCCTCGTTGCAAAACATGCCTGCGCCATCGGTTTGAACACGTTTTTACTGAACCTTGATTGATCTCAGTTCAGGCAATAACCTGAGATTGATCTTTCATCCGCTTATCATGTGGTTTGGCCAAAAACAAATACAAGTTCGCTGAAACTTTGTACAACAAGAAGTCCTGTAGTAAAGATAAAGAAAGCACCAAGGCACCCAAGAAATATCTACAATGAACCTAGCAAAACACTGATTCTATCTGCCGAATAGCACTCCGCACCAACTCCTCACCCTAATATTACATCGAACAGAACCCAGAATCACTCATATACCCCCCCGAATCCCCTTTGGTCGAAGTTGCCTCAAGTCTAACGAGATCTAAAAAATAATTAAACGTATGGTGAGGACTCGAAAAGGTAAGCGGAGGTGCAGCTGCTCACTGAAATAAGTATGGCCTTGGGCTTCCCGCGCCGTTGGCCTCTTCTGATGGTCATAACGAAGTAATTTATCAAGTAAATCTAACGCCTCCGTCGAAATAAATTGTTGGTTTTCCGTCGTCGTGAAACGTGACCATGGTTGTTTTGGATAACTGGAAAGGAAGGGTAAAATTCAGAAGATGGGTGAATCAAGCTCCTTCAGGACTTACACTTGGAGAAGACTTTCTATCTCTGACTCGAAATCTATGTTGTAGGTGCGCAGATAAGCGTCAAAACAGTCCGTGCCTAGGACCTTCATAATCTTCAGCAGTTGGTCATCGTTGTCGGAACCGCGAAAGAAATGTTCCTTGCGAAAAATCTAGCAAGGGGAGTGTAAAAATAGTACATATGAAGCCCGTTATACCACGGCTCACCATCGATGCAAACATGCACCCAACGCTCCACAAATCAAGACTATAATCGTATTGTTTGTATCCCACCAGCAATTCGGGTGCTTTGTAATACCGCGAGCCCACGCGAATATGGTATGCTGTTCCAGAGTGATAAAACTCGGCCAGCCCCCAATCGATCAACCTGAGCTACAAGTTATGATGTGTCAAATGTGTTCCCTCGTCTCGGTAGGGATATAACAAACTTTTCTATGTTGATGGTCAATCATGACGTTTCCGGGTTTTACGTCTCGATGCATGATTCCCCGTGAATGAACAAAATCAAGTGCCTGATGGATGACATTTCAACGGAATACTCAGATATAACTGATAGAACGTAGTAAATACCTTAAGCAGCTGGAAAGTATAGTATTTGATATCTGTGTCGGTAAGGATGGGATACAAAAGTTTCCACTCGGTGTTGTTCACATGTTCCATGATTAGACTGTGGAACTTGGAGGAAGCATCACGAACGACGTCGAGGAGAGCGACGACATTGGGGCCGCCAGTCAGATTGCGAAGAATCTTGACCTCCCGTTTAATCTTTTTAGCAGCGACTGGCTTCAAAACTTTGATAACACACGTCTCCAAATTCACCATATCAACTCCCTGGAAAACCTGCGGCAGTGTGTGGGCAAGGGCTCCAATATATACATGCACAAGTCAACAAGACCCACCTCGGAGTATTTTCCTCCTCCAATGCGACGAACAATTTCATAGCGCTCTGGAGGGCTCCATTCAATGCGAAAACTGTCTGTAGAAGTATATTCAGAGATCAGGACATGATAACAATGTAAAAGAGTAAAAACTACTCACTGTAGTCATACCAAGAACTTCCTAACTGATCATTTACGCCTGCATAGACTCGAGCCATGGTCTGCCTTGGGGATGTCGACAGAAACCAGCGCTAAGGGATGGTGATTTTAAAGCGGTATACCTGGGACATTTACGCTAACAAGGAGCATGATGGGGATGGACAGCCTCTCGGGAGTCGTGATTGTAATATGCCACAAACCAAATACAGTCAACCCCCTCACGCAACCTGATTGACAAATAAGCATCATTTTATGTATAGAATCAAAAACTTCAAAAACACTCTAAGTAAAACAAATCCAGGAAAAAAACATAAATTGCAGCGAAAGTAGATGTCAATCAGATGCGCTAACGACAGTGGACGACATAACGATGTCCGTGAATAATTACAGTAAAATTTGATTACACATACAAACGGGATGTGGATGCAGAGCTTAAAGGAGAGCGGTCGGTGCGGGTAGTAAAAACTACACTAGTCGTTAGTTTGCAGGCGTAGCCCAATGAGAGGAATACACTTACAAAAATCGGTAATAACCGGAGAGAGATATATAAAATTATGATGACTCGTTTGCATGATCTGGGGCTCCTATCTGTAGATATGCCAATACGAGTGCGATGGAACTATTTTGTTGGCAGTACATCTCCAAATCCCTGCCTGACCATAGTCGACCTTCCTCAGGCGAAGCCGAGTCTTCCCCATGCTCGTCATTATCCTTACTAGCACGTGAATTGAAGGTGGCATCCCCGTTGTGATTGTTGTCTGGCTCTAACTTCCCTGGGCCCAAACGATGATACATCTTACTTCGTGATTTAGAGCGGTTGTGTATAGGAATGAGCGTTCCATTGCGGTTCGGGTCTATAGATCCTCGCGAGTTATCTCGGTTGTGATGAGGTACCGAGGGTGCTCGACGGTGGAGAGCTTTGCCAATCAATGTACTAGATCCGCCAATAGCAAACCCATCAGGGTTAATAAGAGTGTCTTGCAACACCTTGAACGCTATATGACTGGCAGCCTGATGGAAGCGGAAAGTCAAAGCAGACGAACGATTAGCCATACTCGAGGCAGACGCAGCATTCGTGGATGCTTCAACCTCCCGTTTCAAGGATACGGTCCATTCATGACGAATCACAGGATCATCAACACTGAACATGTATTTCCGTTTAGCTGCGTTGTGGTCAGAGAAAGCTACTTGGAAAGTATTGCGCATGAAGGCACGCTCGACCACCAACGAGCAGCTCAAAGGAAGACCAGAATACATGTTTGCGTTTGGCCCCGAGCGCAGCATAATGATGTTCTTGGGCCCAAAGGAAGTACCAGTGACGCGGAAGGAAGCTTCAGTGGACTTGACAAAAGTCAAGACTGGGGGTTCAAACGTGATATCCTGGCCGAAAAGCTGGATCGTCAAATTTGGGTCAACCTGAGGTATTTTAAGAATGATGGGCTCTGATTGGACTCGATAGGTTAAACGAGGAGGAAGTGATCGTTTGATAGTGATCGCAATATCTGGGGATCCTCCAGTAGATGGGTTTCTAGCCTGGAAGAGCTTCTCTTTACGAATCGAATCATATATGTCACCGAGTAGGTCGTCAGACACCAGACCACGAGGATCATAACGCCGGAAGGCCTCTAAAAAGTCACTTGCGGTAACATTCCTTTTCGCATAACCAGTTGGACCAGGCTCTGGCGATATGTCGCCATGAAGAACATCATTAAGCTGCACGATAGCTCGAACGAAACGAACAGCAAGATCTTTGTCGTAAGCAACATGTCCAACATTGGCCTCATACCACCGACTAGCCAATGCTTCCAGCAACTGCTCCAGAGGACTATTTCCGTGCGAACTTCTCGTCGGCATGTTGATGGAAAGCAAAAACACGCGCAGAGCCTTGTCCAACCTTAAGCCAGTGAAGCCGAAGGCATCCACATAGTATTTCAGCACGACCTTCGAAGTACGCCGGGAAAGATAATCGCCCAATCGCGACCGATCTACTTCCAACGTCCTGAACAACAACTGGCCGAGCGCTGCTGGATCATCACGACAACCTGACTTTGCGAAAAGAGTAGAAATCGCATGATCGGGATCGGTGGAGAACTGGTGGATGAAAGACCGAATAATGGGATTTCGTGGCGTGTTAGCATAGGATGCCGTCTTTGCCTGAGGCTCTTCACGATCAGCACTGAAACAGAGGTGGCGAAGGAGCACCACATTCTTTACGACAAACTTCCTGTCTAGAGGATTGGGCTTGGCCATATCAAGAAGTCCATCTTGATCCTGTATGATTGGCTTGGCTATTACTAGGATGTCGTTGAAGAGAAAGAGGAAACGATCTTTGACAGTGTTGGAGTTGACAACTTGGAGTACTGGAGATGATAACAACAGCTTGCGAGGTGGATCATCGATAGCTGATGCCCACATGGGACTCCTCGACCCACGTCCAAGCATATCATCTATTCTTTCCAACACAATCAGGCCTTGAGATGGATAGTGAGAATACTGCGAAGAAGTGTTCGACGATGATTCAGATGTTGAACGAGCGGGGTAATCCGATAATGACGAGAGGGGATCGGGTGTAGCCGATGAAGGTGGTTCTGGAGGAGAAGGTAATGCGGGAGAAGCGTTGTACAAGGAAAATTGCATCCCATTTCCATTCCCGTTCCCATTCATAGCGCTACTGCTAGATGGTGCAACTTTGCTTGCCCGCGGAGTCTTCTGCAGGTCTTCATGGGCCGGTGCCGTTCCATTTACTGTCGGAGTAGTTGTAAGTTCTCGGACTTCGGTCCCAAATTTACCCAGAACAGTACTGCCGCTTGCGCTCGTTGGTGTACGTGACTTGTCGCTGATAGCAACCTCCTCCCACTCTGTTGTCAAGTCATTCTCCTTCCGTCGGAAGAGATCAGATAGCGAAGGCTTCTTGCTCGCAGGTTGACGGACTTCCACAACAGGTGGCGTCGTTGGGCTGGGAGAAGACGAGCCTTGCGAAAAGAGTTTCTTTGCATTTAACCACTTCCTCACACCCTCTCGATTCGTGGGAAGTGGTTTTAATATGACTGAACCCGACGGAGAAAGGGGGGGAGCGTTGAAATAGTCCTGATGAGAGGAACTGGAAGGAGCGGCAGAGATAGGAGGAGAACTCATGTTCTTGAATTTCGCCAGCAGGCGAGTATCCGAAGCCTGGTGAGAAAGCTTCCGATCTCTCGCCATCTCCGGTGAGTGAGAAGGTGTATTGCTAGATGAGCTGGAGGGGAGCGCTTGAGATTCGCTATCATTTCCGTGAAGCGAAAATACTATGTCGGGGGTCGATGAAGATAAGGACATCCCTCTTGCGCGATTTCTCTGTTCCTCAAGCTTCTTCATACCAGGGAACGGGAACAATTTCGCATCCTTGTACTTCAGAAGATCCGCAGAGGACGCAGGAGGAATGGGAGAGACACCGCCTCTGGGTGGAGTCTGCGGCGCTAAAGATAACATAGAGGTCGAAGCTGATGACGACTGCATGACTTGTTGCTGGTTCTGCGGGTATGTGAATGTCCCTACGCTATCAGTCTCGGTTGCTTTGGGACTAGTCAGACTGGCACCACTCTCGCGACTGACGCTCGAATCAGTATGATCGCGTCTCTCCCTAGTGACGATGCTGTTCGTGCGCGAACGCCGACCAGCACCAGAGTTACTTCGCGTGAGCGCGTCTTTCAGCCGTCCCCATGTAGTGGTGGAGGACCCGTCGCCAGTACGCTTTGAAGAAGTTTCTGTAGCTGTGCCTCGCGAATCATCCCACTCAAAATCGGTGTTAAGCGGTGATCGGTCACTTTGAATACGGGATGCCACGGATAAGCGCTGTGGATAAACTTTGGGAGAACCAGAATCATCGCTAGCACGAGTGGTTGACGTTGTATGGGATGGAGGGACCAGTGAAGAGGGCGTAGGGGATGTAAAGGAAGGCGTAGGCTCAGGAGACGTCTCCAATTCAACAACTAGTTCCTTAGAATCAGAGGATGCGCGAGTAGAAGAATCTTCCGTTTCAAGAAGAAATTCCTCTTTCGGAGATTCGGGAGGTAGCTCATCCTGTTCTTCTTCCTCAGCATCTTCATCCGTATAGTCATCGTCATGGATAGGCATACGTGACTCCGGAACTGATGAAAGCCATTAAGGCAAAACTATTCAATGTATAGACAGAACAACTCACCAGGCTCTGCTATCCAGCTTATTTCTCGAGCGAACACATCATGATAAGGTGACCGTCTCAAATTTTCTTGATATTCTGCCTCATATAGTACTTCCTCCTCATCTTCGTCACGAGATGGTTTCTCCTTCAATGGTGTAGTGAAGGGACTGATGGGGAACGGGTCCTGCTTGGAAGGTGTTTTTTGTGTGACCGACAAATAAACTGGGACGCCGATGGCCGACGGTGATGCAGAATCAGTAGATGCGTATGAAGGAGCATCTGAAGAATGAGGAATACGGGGTGAAATACTTGGAGATGGACGATTTGGAGTGCCAGGCAGGCCAAGATAAGTGTGTTGAGGAGGCACTCGATCTCTTTCCTCTTCGTCAGGATCTTCTATAAGAATACTCCGCCTTTTTCGTGGAGGTTCTTGATCAAAATGATTAAACCCAAAGATTCTGACGGGCGTAGCTTCTCGACTACCTGCTAGCGTCTCGTTCAAATTTAGGCTAGGAACATTAACAGTTTGAATGGGTGTTGTAGATGCCGTTCGCGGTGGTTCTGAAATGTCCCGCGCGGAGGGCAGAGGCACAGGAGGAGAGATCGGTGTAGTGGCAGACGTAGACCCAAACCCAGACTCTTCGGTTGTTGTAGATCCACCAGCACCGGACGAGTTCCGACCAGATCGGCGTCGTCTACGCTTCACAGGCACAACTGGATCTTTCTCTTCTCCACCACTAGTCTGTTCTCCGTCGGCTTCTTTGATCCTTTCGCCCAGTCGCTGTAGAAGAAACTTCCTCGCAGCCGATCGCTCCCCACCAGAGACGGTGTTGTTCCTCCCTAGTTTTCCCGGTAATGGCGGAGGAGTTGGGGAAGGCGAAGGGAAGGAATTATCGTAGACATCATTGCCTCTTGTAAGCTTTTGCATTGCCATCATACGAGCCGCAGCGCTATTAGAACGGAATAGACCTTTTTGCAAGGCTTCTAAAGTAGGTAGCATAGGTGTGGGTGGTGAGGTCCCAGGGTATAACAAGGGCGATTCTGGAGAGAGAAGAGCAGGAGACATAAGGAGCCGAGATGCTTGTTGCATTTCCGTGAAATGAGATGGGATTGGTGAGATCACTGGCGTGGTTGGAGGAAACAAGGCAGGAGGCGGTGGTGGAGGTGAATCTTCGGGAGATGAATCGTTGCTTGGTATCAGAGGAGTCACACTAGGAGATTGTGGAGGCTTCATCTTGCCCTTAAAATCTTTGGAACCTCTGGACCTAGAGCGAGAGCGCGAACGACGCTTTGTGCGATTAGCTGGTTCTGGTGTCGTTCCTCGCTTCTCCTCTTGGGGTACATCTGTTGTGATATCGCCGGTAGGTGGAGTATCTGACTCCTGCTTATCCTCGGGCTGGGTTTTTTCACCTTCGCTGACGGCTTCTACATGCATGGGTGGGCGTCTCCCATCTTTCATCCGTGGTAACGATGCAGCGCGCTTGAGTTTTGCAACTGCAAAAGCGCGTTGTTCCGCAGCTGAAGTGGATTCGTCCATGGCACTGTTGGGGTCTCTGCCGGGACGCTGAAGTTATAAAGAGGAATTTCGGATGAGGACGTAAGAAATGAACAAAAAGAACAACAACTCACTTGATTTGTTGGTAGTATCCACCGCTAACACCTTAGAACAGGGCCCGTTGGCCGAGATTAGATTACGAAAATCAGGAGGCTGCAACAAAAGGATTAGAAGGCAATGGTGGGGGAGAAAAGAGCATACGGACGACAAAGGAGAGAGCACTGCAGAGGATGAGAGAAAGGCTTAGAGGGCCAACTGCGCGAAAGAGGTTATGTGGCGGAGCACGCACACGTGGCGGGAAAGGACCCGGGCGGTATCCCGACCTCCGTGGTCGCAATATAAGGACCCATGGCTGTATTTTCTGTGGCTCCTGGGCCTCATTCCTGCCTCGAGGAATGTCCAAGTGCTGTTCATGTCACTTGTTATCAGCCTGCATTGCCATCACCTTACACCGACGTTTCAAGCCTATCATATCGTAATATTGGCCTGCTTGCACGGACCTACTACTACAGGCTCAACATCTTTGGTTACCAATCTCTGTCACCTGCAGAATGCCCTCTTGTGCTGCATGTTTCTCTCCTTCCCCCCCAATGGAAGCCTGCATGGTCCATCTTCTGACCTCCCTTCTCCCTGGAAACATTGGACCGCTATGGGTCTACATCCAATCGATAAGAGACGCGGACAACGCGCAGCACATATCGTGGCTTTCATCTCACTTTTCCGGTGCAGATATGGGCCTTCAATGAACAACGTGCTTCCTTTTATTACTTCAGATTTTTGTCGTGGCATGCATCTGTGCTAGCGCTATTTCTGTACGGAAACCCTTTGCCTCTTTTGCTCTGCCGTACCCTTTAGTGAAGAACATGCCTTTTCGCGGGGAACCGATTCGCTCATATGATTTCGATTTGTGCTTGTGTGGCCTTTCGTCGCTTCCAGCTCACTTCTACGAAGCGTTAATGCCTGGAATCGGAACAAAGACCGTGGCTTGACAGTCGACTATCAGCAGCCTCTCAGCTGATAGACCTTAGCTAATCGAATGTACTTTCAGGGAAAGCCTGTGATTTCGCCCATGGGGAATTACACCTGCCGTGCTTGTTGTATGATGTTGGTACGTTATCCTACATCTAACGTCTCGTCAATGCCACTAGCGTGATGATGAATCCCTGGCCGCCGATCACGAGTGAGAATTATACTGCAGTTCTAACGCACTCCATTAAACTATATCATTATCAGCCATAATGGAACACGCGGAAATGATATCATGCAGTCAATAACATGGCCCATAGCATTATGGTCTCCATTGCTACTCGTGCGGAGATAGCGATATCAACACGATGCCCGTGATAACTTGTGTGCGGCAAGTCTATGCAACGTTCTTCAGTGATCTTGAGCTTCGATTTCGTGGCGCATGACTTTCCAAGACGGTCGAGGAACCTCAAAACCCTCCCCTATCCGTGCATACGTGTTACCGCCTAAACGTGAGACGGCACGGAGCTTTAGGGGGTCGACAGTACCGTCATCCTTCATCACAGAAGATCTGACATGCGCTCTCTTGATGAGGCCCAGCACAAGCGTATGGGTGATTTCATCCGAGCTTGGTGGGCAGATGTCATACGTATGAAAGAGCTAGAAGGTGGTATGATTACTGAAACAATGTATTATGACCATTAACCTACCTCGCATTCAAGGCCTACAGCACTCTCCCTGACCCACGGGGGATTGACGTCTGTCTATGAAAAGTGTGCCTCGATGTCAAAAGCGTGTTAATAATGAGTTGGGCCTTACACTTTTCGCCATGGTCAGGCCGCTTAACTGCCACTCGTCAATATCAGCGGGGGCTTCTACGGACGTCGCATTGGCCGCCTCTACGAAAGCCTCGTTAATTATGCTAACAGTGAACTCCTTGGTCGCTAAAATATTTTCCCGAGTGTCTTTTGGCCTTTTTGGAGAGAGCGAGAATGAAACGCTGATTAACGGTGGGTTATGTGCGACCTGCGCAAGTTAGAATACGTAAGGCCACTGAGATGGAAGAATAAGATAGATCTTAACCATCGAAAAATAGCTGCACAGGGTTTGCAGATGCGGCATAAACATGGTTAGCTCGCCTTTTTTAACCCATAAAAGAGATATCCTCACCTGAACGGTGCCAAGTTAGGGACGCCATTTGCTGAGAGGGTAGACACAAAAGCGATCGGGCGAGGCACGACTGCACTTGTCAAGAGTCGATAAATATCCCTATATAAAGTAAGTAGTTAGTCTCGACAAATGGGCCTAGCATTTTTTGTTTTGTATCGTGACCAGTAATGCTTATGACGCGAATGAGAACACGTACCGTGATGGGGTCTCATCCATTTGCCAAGTCTTCCATCCCTGCATCTCGTCCGACTTCCATTCCTTCTGATTTTCGTGTTGCAAAGTATGGCTTTGTCCTAGTTTCCATGATGGATTGGGAGACCTTGTGTATTGGAACGAGGGAGAGGCATTGAACTCGCGAAGAGGCGAGCTTTGACGGTCTGAGTAGCGCGAACTTTCAGCGTCACGGTCTTTACTAGCTTGAGCACAGTCCGACGAGCTGAATAGACGTGTTATCTTAGGAACGACAACGCGCATACCGCCATGGCGATGTATATGTCTTCGTAGACATTTCAGAGCTATAGTTCGAGTCACAGGAGGTGGGAGAGCCATTGTGGATGTAGAAATCGTCTCCGTTATGGAACGAAAATGCCAATTCAGATATGGAATCTATTCAAATAAAGGAGATGTTACTCAAACTCCCCAGCTATGAAGTTTTTGACTGTTTGCGCTTCAGTTACTGCACTTCCACACCTCGGACCGTCGTTCTCACAAGTTGGTCAATTGCAAGGTCTAGGACAAACTTTGTATTATGTAAGCACGCAGAGGACATCGGGCCCTATCTATAACGAAGGGGACGGTGGACGGTGGTCGTTTGGAATGCCGGCGACGGCATCGGATTTCTTTCAACGACCGACAATTTCGATAGGTCTCTTTGAATATTCCTAAGGGCATGACCATATCTGTAAAAATGAATGTAGTATATTGTGCTTATTCTCATATGTGGTAGCCTGTATTTGTTATATTTGCATTGAAAAAACAGAAAAGTAATCAACGAGCAGGAAACAAGAGATGATAATGCCTGTGCAAAAGCGAGAATATCTGGATGAATCAGTAAACACGGATAATATAATAACTTACAATATGTGACTGCCCGTAAAACGTGGGTGGCAACTGTGGCAACAAGTGATAAAGTCATAAAACAAGAATAAAATAAAAACTCACGTTTTATCCACGGCACCAGGGTTGCTATACCATTATATGACCACCAAATTAGCAACATTGTATGGCCAGATTATCAGGGCTGAATGACAGGGCTTGGTTAGTTGACTATAGTGCGACAGCCATAGAAGTTTTAGTACCTGCACAGTTATGCGGATCTGTGGCCATGTTATTAGTTACAGGTCACACCATCACACACGGCGAGGTTTTTTCCTTACTACCGCTCACTGGGTGCTCAATCTCGTCCAACGCTGCAGCCACTATTCTGGATCCATTCCATCACAACGCTCATTCCACAGATCAGCTAAAACCCAATTTTTTTTTTTACTCTGGCCACTCGAGGTTGACTGAGCATGCAAAGTAGGTAAGCGTGACTTTCTACTTACCTAATATTTCCAGCTGACATATGCCTTGTACCCCCTTGCACTCAATCCCTGGCCTGCCTGTGAACTTTGCCGTACAAATTTTATGTAGTAACTATTTTCCTTTCCATATTCGTGACATTTTGTCTTCACCAATTTTCCCTGTACTTGCAAAGCACATTTTATAATAATATTGATACTCACAACAATCAGGGTCACACTGCATGGGCAAATTAGAGGTATAAAAGTGGCTGTTGAATATACTAAGATGCCGTGTTCCGCGGTGTTTAAAATTTCAACCGTAACCAAATGACCACTGTAACAGTGGTCCCAAAAGTTGCGTGCGGCACACGTGGGAGCACATTTTTTCGCTTAGTTTTGCTCATGTGGTTTTCGGTTAGCAGGAGAGGGTAGGTAGTGCAGTAGTAACGAGTGTAGTGAAAGTTGTGGCCACATTGAAAATTCTCACGTTTATAAGGACAGACAGCACAAGTTCACTGACTTCTGACTAAATAAAATTTGATCACTTAACTTGTTATTATTCCTCAAAAGATAGTGTGGAGTAGCTCAGTCAAGAGCAGTGGAATGCTTTTGATACCATCATACAGTCAATCTATCATAATAGGGGAATAACTTGCTTTATTCACAGTGCTGAAGGTAAGAGAAAAACATATCTCTGTAATACAATTGCCGCTGCTGCTTGAGCAAGAGATAATCATAATGTTGCTCTATGTGTAGCATCCTCTGAAATTGAATCCCTGCTCTTGGAGGGTGGCTGCACAGCTCATTCACACTTTGGAATCCCTATTCATGTACATGAAACATCCACATGCAGGATTCCAAAAAACTCTGACCTCCATGAGGTTTTTAGACATACTGGAGTTATAGTCTGGGATGAAGCACCAATGCAACACTGTTATGGGATTGAAGCATTGGATTGTACATTGCGGGGCATTTTGGATAATCAGCTTCCATTTGGAGGCATTATAATGGTCTTTGGAGGGGACTTCCACCAAACAACACCTGTTGTTCCAAGAGGGTCAAGGCAACACATTATTTCTGCCTCTCTTAGAAAGTCACGACTGTGGACAAATATCCATGTCTGCTATCTCACACAGAACATGCGCCTGGACCGTACTCCAGAAAGTGAAGCCTTTGCTAGCTGGCTCCTGGATGTTGGTGGTGGTTGTGGAATTGCAGGAGATGGAACTATTGAGCTTCCCGCTGTCGATGATGAGAACTGCTGTTAGAAAACCACACACAAAAACAAACTAACAAACAATCCTCCCAGATTCCACGGAACTTGTTTATGGGCTTTGCCTCCTAGAACAGTGGGTGCTCTGGTTGTTCGTGGGGTGGTATGTATGAAGATCCTTCAAAGTAAAACCCAGAGATGTATGAGTGTGGGTTTTGAGGAGGAGGGATAGTTGAATTTATAGAAGATAGGGGCTTAGTGACGAGTATAGATGAGCACTACCTTGCTAATTGTAGCATAAGGTAGGTTTGAGAACGACGAGGATGACAAGGTGACGAGGTTCCCAGTGATAGCAGGCTCCTGACGCACAAACTGTAGTGCTCAGAAGGACTCTAATCGAAAGGGATAACAATGACTTCAAAAGTGGGGAGTGATGATGACAGCAATTAACAGTGGAAGCAGTGGGAAGTGTTGTGACCACACTGGATCACAAGTAGCAGTAAGAAGTGGACTTAAGATTAGAGAAGAAGTCTGGAATCGAGTACTTGTTTTTTTTTACAAGGTAAAATACAGGGGTTTATATAGTAAAAGAAAAGTAGGCTATGCACAGTATAGCTGTGCAAAAAGAATGAGAAAGAACATGAAGGAAGGAATGTACGCTGACAAATCCTGTGTAGGTAGTACAGGATAAGATTGTCAAAAAAAGGAAAAGAAAGGGATAGAACAATAAATGCTGTGAGTAATGTCACACGTTTGTACAGCCATAAAGTAAAGTCCAATAGCAAAAAGAGAGCAGGAAAATCATGATGTCATGGGAAGATGCAGTAAAAAAAGGGCAAGGCAAAACACTATCAGTATCAACACAGTTCCTTTATTGTCAGTCAGACATTCTAAAAAAATATGTGTTCATAAAAATGATTCAAAAATCAAAAATAATTGCACTGTAAATGAATGTTCTGCTGAAAAAAAAGAAACTGGAGCCACCGGTCCACCACCTAGTCCAAATCCAACAGTTCCATGGCCTTACCAATGGACTGGTTGTGTTGGACCACCTGATCAAACGAGGGAGGGAGAGGAGTAGTTCCAATTTGGAACAAGTGAGTCCCAGTGTCACGATCCTCTTCTTTTACATCTAATACTTCACCCTTCATGTCCAACTCTGAAGTAGAAACACTCATTTCTCCTTATCTTATCACGTAGCTTTCCTTATCTTATCTTCTTATCTCATCACGTGACCCCAAGTCACATGATCACTTACAAATCATCTTACCAAGCTAAACACGATACATCCTCATGTCTATCAGTCAGCGCCTCATGGCTGACATGAGTTCTTACATATATAAGTAGACACTCAACGATGTACATACCCTAGCTTTTGATTTCGTCTTTATACACTTGTTCAACTACTTGCTAGAGATTGACGTTGAGTTGCCTGGTTTCTTCCAGTAGTGCAACTCAGTCGTTATATAATCAAAAGCTGGTAAAGAGCACCTAGTTGATGACAGAAACAAAGGCTACTCTAATCATCATCCTAACCCCCGTCATCATCATCCTATTTTTCGTTCTACTCAAACTATACTTTCGCCTCACCACACCCCTCTCTCAAATCACATCACCTATCACTCGCCCATCCACTATAATCACATTCATCCAATCATCGCCATCTAACTCATCTTTCGAAACCATCCCTCTATCTCCTATCATCCGCCCCCACAATCCAGTACTTAGAGAACCTAGTGACGTGGAGTCGCTAAGGTTCTATTAGTTACATAAACTTCTTTATACTTCTTACCGGGCCGGGCACTTGCCTCCGCCAGTAGGAAGAGGGCTGACAGCGGTTAACGCGGGCCATCATCGAGACAACCGTTCGGACCTCGATTACGATACAATTAGAACACTGTACTATATTAGAATGGTACTATATTAGATAGTTTACGTACACGCTTAGTGGGGACAGAAGAGGAACCCATAAGCAGAAGGAACTAGACAGAGAAAGGGATCTTCATTAAAGAAGTGTTGATCCAGATTTGTCATCTGGGGAACCTTTTTTGAATGCCCTTTGCACCACTATACTCGTATCAGATCCCGATTCTGCCCTATCCCGGGCCGACCATAAAACAAGAACGAGTCACCCCAGCCCTATATTTCCTAACACCATCACCATCACCATCACCATCCCTGAATGTCTTACGACACATATCGAGAGAATCCGGACATGGCCGAGAGCACCGACATGTCAGATTTGCGGGACGCGTTACCGCATATTCAGCCGCGCGTACCATCGCCGGCAACCAACCAGCAGCAGATGCAGAACCTGCAGAACATCATCTTGGCGGCGGTCAACAACGCAATCGCAGACAACAACGAATTATGGGAAGAGAGATTCTCATCAAAAGACGAAGAAGTAAGAGACTTGCGCAGAAGGCTCGCAGAGAGCGAAAGGAGGCAGCCTTCAGGGATGGGCCTGCCACGCGCACAAGAAGCAGAGTTTAGGAAAACGGCATTAGCAAAGCCGGAACCTTACGACGGAGACAAGAAGAAGTTTCGAAGCTTCTCGGAGTCATTAGAACTCCATTTCAATGCCAACTCGGCATACTTCTCCCGAGAAAGGAACCGGATAAGCTTCGCCTTATCCTATATGAGTATAGGGGCAGCAGCAGCCCTAAGAACAGAGTGGGTAGAGAGGAGGAAGATTGCAGAAGAAAGGTCGGATGCAGGGGAAATCACCCTCTTAGAGAGCTGGGCTCACTTTGAGAGGACCCTCAAAGACCATTTCACTGACACGCACGAAGAAGAGAGAGCAAGATACGAAATTATATACAAGAAACAAGGAACTCTGACGGCCCAAGAGTTCTTTGTAAAATTCGAAGAGTTGAGGAGGCAGGCCAGCTATGATGTCAAAAGGAGCGAACAATTCCTGATCACACTAATCAGGAATAACATAAATGGTCCACTGATAAAGCAGATCATTTATAGCGGAAACATT